AAAAAAAAAACACTCTTTGCGTTATCACGTCGAAGTATGAAGATCTAGAAAATTTTATTAATCCTTCTTGTGACTGGTAGGTTCCACTGTAAACATTACGGCCTTCAAACTTTCTGACCTTCTCCCTGCCAACATGTCTAAGTTCTACCGCTATCCTGGGTCTCTTACCACTCCGAATTGTTATGAGTCTGTCAAGTGGACCGTTTTCAGCGACCCCATCAAAGTTTCATCAGCTCAGGTAAATATTATGTCTGTTGTTGTTCAGTTGTTGTTTTTGTTTCTGCTGTTAGAGAGTTTTGTATTACTACTCTGCACGATTGGCTTAGAAAACTCGCGGGACTTTTTCATCCAATCAGAACTAAAACCAAGCCTATTGGAACTCCGCTCGCACACAGTTTTCCCGCTTCGCTTCAGTTACATGTCTTTAATTAATTCAAGTTTTGATTGGTTAATTGGATTGTTTATCGGTTTGCTTTTCTAGTGATCTCTTAAGTTTTGTTACTACACCACTCAATAGAAAACCTCACTATTGTTGTTGTCGTTTTTCTTATTGTCTTAAAATTAAGATGCTTGACTACAATTTTCACGCGCTCTTTTGTTCTCATGTTGGAGCGAGTAAACAAGCTCTCTAATGTACGCTAAGGTTGTGTGTGTTTGCGATTTTATAACTTTGCGGGTCCGTTCCCCGAATTTGCTCGAGTCTTTGCAATCTCGTAAGTTCCTTACGGCGCAAACTCGACAAAACAAACGACTTTTGAGAATTCCGTTACAATTTCCATTACGATTTTTATTGGTTTTGAAAACAATGAAAATGAGCGGAAGTAAAACACCAGCGATTCAATTGAGTCACACGTATTTGTCAACTAGGCATGCGCAATTTAACCGGAAGTCCGATATTTTCAGACTGCCAAACAGAACTTTCTAAAGTCGCTCGCTTCCCAACCGTGGTTCAAGGGGAAGGAAGACTTTGCTTACGAGGTTGATATCTTTGTTTTTTTTATTCACAGATCAGCGCTCTGCGTCTTATGAAGGCCAACAGTACTATGAACCTTGTAGATAACTTCCGCCCGATCCAGTCCCTTGGCAGCCGCACAGTGCGAGTCAGTTTCAAGGCCCAATCAGAAGCCACCACAGTAGGATCGTCAGAGATCCCAACTGCGCTTAGTCATGCTGTGGCTGTCAAACTGACTACCGCCCTGTTTCTGCTAATGCTGTCTGTTGCATTTCACTTGAATTAAGAGGTCCACGCTGATGCTTAATGACTTATGGCGGCATATTTGAGCTTTCTACCACAAGTTTTGACTGAAGAGATAAAATTTTAGTGTTGTAATTTTGATGCGCGCAGGGACAGGTGGGGCTTCGAGGAGCAGACGACGTAATGCGCAGAGGGACCCGATGCACACAAAGAGCCCATACGAAATACTTCACACGAAGTCATGTCTTGGCCCCTTGACTTGTCCGCTCCTATAAACCAATCTTACTGTACCTGTATGTAATAATCGTTTCAATTTTAGAGAATGTTCTCGTTGTCAGGACGAATTCACAAGTAGTCTTTTAAGTAATATCCTCTGTGGTGTACGTTTCACGATTTGTGTCGATATTTTTTTGTGGCGTTAAGCAGGCCATTTTCGTGTTGACTTTTGCCTTTGTCTCAAAATACGTTATAGCGTAAACCTTTCTCGTTTCATTCTCGCGCAACTCACATATCACCATTATTTATTCAGACAACTGAGAAATACCTCGGTAGCGAGTTTCTGGTCATTTCAACGGAGGGTCTGATTTGTCAGGATTTTTCCCTAGTTATGCGGTGATCTGAGAAGTAATTTATCAACCAGTCTCTAAATTGCCTGTTTGGACATGAAAAAATGACCTTGCCTTTTCGCCGTCAGTTTTGTAGAATGACTGATGCTAGATCGCACGTTATTAAATTGTTGAATGTAATATTAATAAAGAGTGCCGCACGGTGTGAAATTTTGCCTTGAGCCATTGTCCTTTTTCTTTTACATACCTGAATATTTTTTGCTGTCATCGCCCCTTTGTTCTCTCCACCCCCCACCCCCCTCCGTCCACCAAACACCGATGAATGTATGTCCTATCCGTTTGGCTAATACGGCTGCCCCCCCCCCCCTCCTCCACATTGCGTCAAACTGCCCCCTTAACAAACCTTCGCCTCCTTTACCAACGTTCGTCCACTTAACTAAACTTCGTCCACTTTACCAACTTTACTACACTAGCCTACACTTCGTCCCTTCGCCCCATGCCCGACCACTCTACCAACCTCTGCACACAGGAATAAGCAGAATACGCAAGTTACACCTGTGACGATGCCTTGAGAGAAAACACTGCTAGAATAAAAGGGGCGCAAATGTTAGCCACTGTAGCTCAAAGGATAAGAAAATCTTTACTTTTCAGTCGCGTGCGCGGTTCCGCGCGAGAGCGTCTGCCATGTGAAGACAAACATATTTTGCAACGTTTGCAGCTAATTAGTACAAGAATGTGCTCGCTCCTGGTGCTATGTTTGTGTTTACTATTAAAGATTAGTTACAAAATGTCATATAATTGTTTCAGTGTGATTAGAGTATAAAGTACGTCAGCTAACCTAGGCCTTACATAATCACTCAGCGACATTTCTTTTGAAATCCTGCTCACAAGAGGTGATTTTTTTTTTTTTAAAGGTCATACAAAATTATAAATCATTAACGCGTCTCGTTGATCAAGTCAATCAATCAATTTGCGAACTTTCCTGTGCTCTAGCTCTGTGCATCTACCGTAACTTCACGTCAATCATTGGATAAACTGACGGTCGTAAATTTCGACTGATTCGGACTAGTCCAAATTACAAAACCATAAGCTTATAATTCAGAAGCGAGACATCCACACCTGCCAAAACGGAGCCCTAGGGTATGTTACGTGCAGGCGTCTGTCAGATGTAAACGTACCCTCGTGATTTAGGTTTGGTCCACGGTGACAAAGGTATTCGGTACTTTCTAACAAACACGCCGGGATTATCACTCCAAATTGTCATCTCGAACAGGGCGTCTTCTCTTCAATATCAGTATAAATTTACTAGCGTTCTATCAGGAATACTTATTGGCTACGCTACTAACTTCTGATCTATGCTGGTGTAGATAGTCAGTACCCTGGCGGTGTGCGGTTGTTACCTGGGGACTGTTCACAAAATGGCGTGTGCTTCTTTGAGTTTTCGAAATTTATCTGAAGAGGATTTAGATAACGTTTTGAACGACTTGTAGATTAATAGTAAAATTTGATCATTTGCTTTCAATTTATATGCGCGATAGTTGACTCGCGATAGAAATCTCGAGCTCATAATCTAATTGTGAATTAAGTAGACCAAAATGAAAGGGATTTTGTTTTAACTAAGGTCAGGGACCATGAAACTTTCGTTACGCGTCCTCCATCTGGCAATGCGCCGGAATTTTGTTTCGCATGCATGTATTTCACGGACACCGAGACGAACATGAAGTGAACAAGTAATTCCCGAAGTACCCCCCACGTGTAATCTTCGAAATTCGAATTCCTATCCTTCGACACAGACGCTGTACTGTGTGGCCATGGGCAGCCACTTCTAACTATCATGTCGCAATGAATTAATTTCCCGCTTCAAAAGAAACTAAGCGCAATTAAGTTTTAACTAACATATGCTCTCGGTTCTGATCGAATAGTTCATGACATTTCCTAAAGACATATATTACTATCCGAAACCCATGACAGCTACTTAAAAAGCGCAACTAATTACCAGTGAAGTATAGTAACATGCCCATACAGAACAGGTGGTTTAGCGGGGCAGAACGGGCGGTTTAGCGGGGCAGAACGCGGAACGCAAAGTGCGAGGACGCGAGCGTTGAGCGCGGGAAAGGAGTGACGGATTATGTTCAGGTTTTATTTTAGTTTTTGCTTCTCCTTAGCCCTTCAATCCCGTGCTCGCCACTCATTCTCATGCTTTGCGCTCGTGTGCACATCTCATGCACCTCGCACTGCCCAGCTGGCCAGTCTATTCTGCCGGCTTCAACGGAAACAACAGCAGTTGTCACTGTCAGTCAAAGTTTGAAAGGAAAAGGTCACCTGATCTGACGATCCGCCCCGAAATAAAATATTCTTGCACAAAACATTTTATTGCATTACTTGTCTCGCCCATTGTAGTTCTGATTCACCAGGCAACAGAGCACATCTACAAGAACGGTCACAACTCCCACTGAAGGTAGAGCATTAATTTTTAACACATCTAAATCACCCAGGCGCCGTCTTTTAACCGGGAGATCGCTAATTTTTGTAAGATTTAACTTTCATATTGGTTGCGTCTTTACATTTCTAAATAAGGCAACGAATTTCCGTACTCACTCTCCCGGTTTCTGTATGTGACTGTAATATTCGAAGCGCATTATTCAAAGACGGATTGAACTTAAAAGCTTCCGACTTAAACCGCCTGTAGTGAAGTCTAATGCGTTAATTTTTGTAAAACATCCTCAAGTAGAAAAACAAAACTAGGCAGCTTCAATACCCTTCTTGTGAGTAACATTACATAACCATCTGCAACGCGCTGAGTGTAACGTTCTACGACTTCTACAGAATGTATCCTTGTCGCTGTTTACAATGCGTTAATTTTTTAAACCTTCTTGCGTAACCATCCGAAATGGGTTGGGTGTTCTGCAAAATGTCCTTGTCGCTGCTAGTTTATAGCCCGGGGGGGTACTTTAGGAATTTCTGGGTGGGGATGTGCCGCTGGGACCCTGGAGCCCTTAGCCTATACTAGAGCTAGTTCAGCTGAATTTTGTTACCCTATACTAGAGTAACCAGTGCTAAAACCACCGATTTTCGTCTGAATACCGATTTTTGATCGTGACAGTTAATAATATCCGGTAGTGTTTTTTGATAGTCATCTATCGACGCTGTTGAGGCTGAAGTGCAAAAATTTTAACTTGCCGATTTCATTTTGTTATATTTTTGAGTGGCAATCCCTGGTTTCCTTTTAGTCTAGGTAAAGTCTTCAACCAACTGGTCAGTTTTGTGAAAAATGATACCCTATTTTAGACCCAAACGCTCTGATTTATATACCCTATCCCAGAGTAAACTGCATGAAAACCATACCCTTCACAGCGGCANGCTTTATTCCTTCCTGTTCGGTAACAGTAGTTCTCAAATCAAATTCAACTCAAAACTTCGCGTGTCCATAGCCTAATTGAGGAGAGAATTTAGTTTTCTAAATAAAAAAAACGAAAAAATATTCGAGGTCATGTGCGCGCATTCCAATTATTCAGTCTTGTCGGCTCAGAAATTGCTGTTTCTTTCATTTGCATGTCTTATTGCCAAACATAGGCAGGTGTTTAATTAAACAAAGTAGAGGTCTTGGGGCTTTCTTTTTGTGTTGTTCACCTTGTGAGCGATCATGCACTAAAAGCTCTGACTGCAGAGTTACGAAAACAAAACAAACCCCTCAGGCACACTGAATATTTCGTGATTCTAACCTTGTTCAACCTTGGTTCGATTTTCTACCGCTTTGAAATCGAAAACCACCAAAATAGCTAGAGCTCTTGACTTTTAATGGATTAACCATGCGCAACCACAATCAATTTTAGCTTTATCAAGTCGCATTTGAAACGAACGACATCAACGTAACCGCAACACAAGTGAACGTGTAGAAAATTCATACCATTAGGTCTCCATTTCCGTTTATCGCATTTTTCCAGTAGAACAGTAAGAGGTCTTTCCAAAGTACTAGCTTTTCGAACTGTTATTTCACGTGATATTTGAAGAGAAAAATGAGGATCTAGAATAACCCATGATTTTCATATGGGATCAAAGAATTCGTTCACATCCCCACGAATCCGCCAATGTTTGGAGGGATTCAGTGTTTTATAGCTCCACTCTGATCTAAGTATTTTGCTTTGTTAGTTTATAAATTAAGTTGAGAGTTATACCGTTTCTCGAGAGCTAAATTTGACGACAGAATTGTGAAACACCATGATTAGGATCTTTATTGAAAGCGTTATTGACGAGTATTTTTACTGCATGCTTGGACAAATACAAGGGATTATTCATCGACGGTGACCGCCCCTGGTAACCATAAGTCGAGGTCACTCTAATGATGACAGGAGGATTGAAATCGGCATCAATACTGCTTGTCAATCAACGCTGACAAATTATTTCCTTAGATTTGTTTTCACAAAGTCAGTGCAATTACAAATACAACGCCAGATGTCTGTTTTAGGTACAAATTGATGCCTCTGATATTCAGCATAAACGTGATAACCGTCCCGCAGTTGTTTAGAAAATTTCAAAACAGAACGCCACATGCTGTGCTTGTATGCAACTTTACGCTACACTGACGGCGCACTTTCAAAGTCTAAAACCGGTCCACGGTGGAGTTAAGAGTTCAATTTAAAATCTACTTTCCAATCTATATTAGTGTTGAATTGGGGGAAAGTTTCATCTATAGTAGAGTTAAACAACACTATCACGCGCGCGGGGGCGTGTATCGGGGTGCGGCCGTCTTGTGAAGGAATATTCGTCTTTGTCATTTGCAGTCATATGATAGACACACTGATTATGTTCACGCATTCAAAGCATGTTTTGTACGTGTACGAATGTTATCTTATCATCAGTAGACTTCACAGTAAGCCTCCAGGCTCCAGCATGCAGGCGCGAATGGCACGCAAATCTTTGAAGTTCTTTATCGGGGGGAGGTGTGCTCTCTTAAGTTTAAAATTGGTAGATAACGGTATGTTCCACAGATTCGTTCCACCCCAAAGGGTATGATATTTGAGCCGGTTTGATCTGAAATAGACTTTAGGTTTTGCTCGTTTTGGTCTGGAACTGGAATAGGGTAATTTCACTGATTTAGCCTAGAATTGTGTTTATTGTTAATATGGAATTAAATTTTTCACATTGAAACTCGGCGGGAATTGTAGCTCTTTTGACAAAGATTTTTGCTAATTCAACGCTTGTTTACTTGCGGAAATAAAAATACAACTGGTTGACTTGCATAGGTTCCATACTAACCAGCGCAGACTTTGCTTTTGTCTTTGATAGGTTCGATACTGAACAGCGAACATTTTGTTTTTAACTTTAATAGTAATGTAATGTAAATGTAATGGTACGTTCAATTTGCAATATTTGATTTGCATTTATAATGTCCCCAATAAGCTCCACAGTGTTCAACACATTTAATAATAATAATAATAATAATAATAATAATAATAATAATAATAATCGATATTTAAACGGGGTGACCCCTTTGATATATTTATTTATTTTATGAAAGCGACTGCAATTAACGATTTATTTCACTTAGAATTTCAGAAGCCCTTAGGCGAGTGCAATTTGAATGAATTTTCAAATATCACGAGTACTGTAAAAGCGTTTTAAGACTTCTCGAGTATGATTGGGAAAGTTACGAAGGCGCCTGTATTAATTTGCACTGCAGCTCAAATTAAAAATTAACGATATTAAGTAGCCTTCTCTCAGTCAAACACAATGTAGCAATTTTTTCGGTCATTTAAATGAATAAGGTTCGATACTAAATGGGCATACTTTGCAAATGAAAATGAAAATGAAAATGAAAATGAAAATGAAAATGAAAATGAAAATGAAATCATGTGTTTACTGAGCCACTGCTCTCTGATCCTGTTCCAAGGCTTCACCGGCTAAGTAGGTCAGGCAGCTCTGGGAACGAGCTGTTTCTTGAAAGCCCCGGAAACTTTTCGTGCCCGCAAAGCCATTTTTAGTTAATCTGTATCTCAAAACAGAGAGGTATATGCGCCTGAAACTTCTTGTATGAAGGGAAGTTCTGGTCATATTAAGAATATGTAAATAAGACAGCTCTGTAATCATAAGATTTGAGATTTTGCCACGGCTTTCCGGGTGCGAAAACATTTTGGGACCTTCGAGAAACGGGCCCCTTGATCTCCAGTTTCCTTGATCGGAAACGAGGTTGGCTGGCTCCAAGCCACCTTGCGTTATCAAAATGTTTGTCAGGTATGGTTCGAACCGGGGCTCGAAAAAAGGCAGGCCGAAAGATTGGAAGAAAATAGAGCTAGCGGAAATAGCCACAAATCAGAAATTAGCAACACCTTTTTGACTGAGCTTCCACCATTTAGTCTATTTAGAGGGGGTCCTTTTGTAAGCCAACATAACAACAGAGCCAGGACACAAATAGAATGTTGGCAGTGTACCTTTTGCTTTGGGTCGGACGAGTGGTATTACGCAATAGGGCTCAAGTGCTGCACCATGTCTCGTTCCAGTCCCATCTAGCCTGGAAAATCTCGTCACATAATCCCTGACTGATTTCGAGAGAAAAACTGATTACCAGCAGTCTAGCCGGATGAAATTGCAAAGACGCTCCAATTATTTATGGCCGAGTTTTTACCAAAACTAAGCTCTTTTTTTTATAAGAATATTGTTTTTCAGGCCCAGGCTGAATATTCTTATTTTTCTGCCGATTTTAGGCTGAAAATATTCTTGTGAATATTCTTAGATTATAGCATATGACTTTTCCATTTTATTGACTTTGATGGCGTTGAAGTACTTTGGAGCCGGATTGCAGGCAAGAAAGTCTGATATGACAGTGAATAGACTGATGAAAATAATGATATGACAGTAAATAGACGACTGATGAAAATACCGTTTATAATTTTGAGAAGTTATCGTAGCGTATCGTATCGTATCGTATCGTACATAACTTCTCAGTCTTGCAGAAATGATACTTGCATCAAACATACAGCCAGTGTTGATTTTGTTAGTTTTTGGCTAGTTTTGCCCTTTACAGAATGGAAGAATTTTTTACGTTATAATGGTATTGTATTCACAAATTTTCAACTCACAAAATTAAATCCTTTTAATTTCAAAATCTCAGCCTCGGGTTTATTCTTAAAATATTCTTAAAATTTCGCAAATTTCAGCCTCGATATTCTTTTAAAATACAAAAAGAGAAGAGTGTAAAGCTACTAAAAATGCTTTCGTTTCAGTGTTGAATAGATCGTTCTTCACTTGTCAAGCCACTGACAAAAGACGGGTCCTCTGGAAAATACAATTTTCTTTCAATTTCTCTCGGTTGGAGCTCACGTTTTCCAATCAAGCACTGCTTTGATATGTCACGATCTTTAGATAAATATTTATAAAACAAACACAACATTCTAAATTTGAATTTGAATTTTAAAAAGTAAGTTGACGTAAGTCAGGAGCCCATTGTAAGTTGACGCATTTCCTTGCAGCATATTCCTAATCTAAACTAGTCTAAATCGGCTTTTTGCGTTGCAAGTTTTGTTTCAAATGCCTTAGTTCCTGAACCGTTTTTCTGTCTTACCTTCTTTTCACGCAACAGGAGTCCTTTTATAGGTCTTGTAGACAGAAAGTGTTAGTTTAATAGAGTACGTCTCAGCTTTTTCCAGCTGAAGCAATCAGAACTGCATCATTAATTTAAACCTCAAACGAGGTTACGAAATGTTGAAGAACAACTGTTGCCACATCCCTCGAGATTCCGGCTCTATAAACAAATGTTCAAAATTAAACCTCTTACTACGCATCATAGGGGAAAGATAAAGTACAGCAAAAAAAAAAGCTACTTAGCCAAAAGTAAACATCACATTTATTGAATGATCTCTCGGGGGTATTATTTTTCGACAACTAGGTAATTGCGTGCCACTAAAAATACGATGACGTTTTTTCGACCGTTGCCTGTGCGCTGTTTGACGCGAGCAAGGCTTTAGTTGCGTCCGTTAAGAACCGCGATTTATCCAGCTTGAATCTTTTACCATTCTGCAGTTACAAGCGTTCAACTGATCTTGTAATCCTATCTTGGCGATTTTACGAGCGGTAAAATAACCATGGCTGTACAAACAGTTTTTGAACATTCGCGTGACAGCTGTCATTACATTTTGGCAACACTACCAGAAGTTATTTTAATTTCACTTTCATTTGGAAAACCTTTAACTCTTTGATGTTTTCAGGTAAAGAGTAACCATGGAGCGTTATATCTTGGTCGTCGTTCTCTGCTTCGCTTGGACACACCAGGCTTTCAGCGACGGTAAGTACAGTGCAAACGTTACGCTACATTCTCTCCCGTTCTTAGTTGATTCGACTGAAATATCTACTAAAAAATAGTTTAGAATGATACATCATCATCATCAAAACTGGATAAAAGTGAAGCAGATTGCGCATATTTTAACTTGATAAGTATTACCAGGTTCACAGCAATGAAATGTTTGCTGGGAATCCCGCTGTTGGAGTCGGCCCTCTTGCTCAAAAGCGGTTCCTATGGGCAACTTGACGTGTGGCACAGAGCGTTTTGGGATTATGAATTTTGTGATTCCTGGGGTTTTAGAATCTGATCGATCTGCAAAAATTATATTCCCGCCACAAAAACCCGCAAAATATTTACACTCATGCGAAGACGAAGATTACTGGTACGAGAAGGAAACCGCTAGTGCTAACTCTCATATAAACATTTAAGCCAACATGTACAGGAACCTCGATTTAACGAACCTCTATTTAACTGAACGAAGACCTCGGTATAATGAACGACATTCCTCGCTCCAGTAATAGTAAAATATATGGAAAAGCACCCCGATATAACGAAGCCTTGTTATAGCGAACATGTTTTCCAGTCCCTTGGCCCTTCGTTTTATCGAGGTTCCACTGTACTGACAATTAACGTCCAAGTATTCGATCTGCAAACGGTGCAACTGATATCGGGAAAAACGTGTTTTTCGAAAGCAGTGGTCACGTTATTTTACCTGTATTGCAGGCTGTATTTCACTGAATTACACGAGTCATCAACAGTAGCATGCAAATCCTACTACTTTCTCGTGGTTTCGATTTTTACTAAATATTATGCCTTTTTTATAACACTGTTTTCTTTGCGACCTCATGAGAGGATTGCTCCAGGGATGCGAAGTTTAAATAGCTGACATCATATTTCTGGTTTTGATGAACAAAATCAAAGACTGGTCTGTGGTCAGTTCTGTCAAGCAGAGGGCCCGTCTTGTCCCCAGACTCCCCTCAATCTGATTTCTCGCCGAGTAGCAGGGATTGTTCAACCTCTGGCCGGACCAAAGTTTTGTTTTGAGCATGCGCAGAGCTGTCGTTTCTTTTGTATCTCGTGTCTTGAATTTTGTTTTTCTAGTAACAGAGCTTTGTTACTTTCTTCGTAAAAATCCCTTTTAGGGGTACGTTTTGGTGTTCACAATTTTCTTTTTAATTGTTACTACTTTCTTTCTGTTAGGTCATGATAAATGGGACTATGTTCTAGGTGGCGAACATGGTAAGATGTTTTCGTATTAAATTATTGAAGGGTTAAGTTTTTAGATGTAGCAGTGATATTCTCGGTCAAGAGAAAATGCTCTTGTCTCGGTTTAACAAACTCGAACTGTAATAACAAACAAACAAACATCAGAATCTCGGCCATTTTGAAGGATGTTGACCACAGTAATACACACCCCCCTCCCACTCCTCCCGTCCAAAAATAAGCCCGCAAAATCTCGGACCCAAAAATCCTCCTGATAATAAGCCCTACCCTGTGTCTCTCCCCGTCCCCACCCATCCTGGAGCCGTAGAAATGTTCAGTCGTTCCAAGGTGTGACGTAATAAAGCGTTCGAACCGACTAGCCATGTGCAAACGTATACGTTGTTATCTCGGGTAACTATGGAAACATAGTTAACGCCAGTCTGATTGTTGGGCTCTGCGCCCACTCACTTACTGTCCCGGATTTTCCTCGTTACAGGCCCGTCGAAATGGGGAGGTGACTGCCAGACAGGAAAGAAACAAACACCGATCGACATAGAAAGCATAAAGACAACTTGGAAGAAAGACCTCGGTACTCCCACTCTCACGAACTACAACGAGATGCCCAACGTTAACTTTACCGCCAAGAATAATGGCCACACTCTTACTATCTCATTCCCTGAGGACGTCTACAATGTAAGCGGGATAGGCCTCACGGGTGTTTACACCACGGTTCAGTTTCACTTGCACTGGGGCTCAACAAACATGAAAGGGTCAGAACACTACCTGGACGGTAAACAATACGCTGCTGAGGTAAGTGACATTAAGAAAAACGGCTGGTGATCCCTTCGTTTAAAAGGAGCTCGGTTAGGGTATTTTGAGTTGTTTGTCATCTAGAAAATCAGCTTGAAATTGAAGGAAACCTGGAAATAGTAGTTAACTAAGATAGAAAAACACCAACGAGATAGTATTAGGGACCTTTAGATTTGACTACGAGTACGAGAACGATTATCGAATTTCAAACGAGTGACGTTTCCAGAGCCCTCGCTCTTCATGTTTGTTTTAGGTAGAGAGGGTAGCTCATGGGATGAGATGGGTATGTGACGTGATAATGTGAAGCCTGCAAACTAGTTTTGTTCTTTAATTTCTCTTTCTTCTTTTATAGTTGCACTTCGTCAGCTACAACACTAAGTACGCAAACCTTTCCATGGCAGTGACGCAGCCTGATGGGCTTGCTGTTCTGGGTGTGTTCATGATGGTATGTATTTTAAGCTCCTCGATTATAGTCGAACCTCCGGTTACGACCACCTCCTGTAAGCGACCACCTCTCCTCAGTGACCAGTTTTCCAAAATACAAAAAGTTTTCAAGTCAAATCACCATATTTGGAACCTTTTGTAAGCGACCGCAATAACTTTTAAAGCTAAAAGTTTGAAATTTTCTTTTGTTTTTAACCTCCCGTAAGCGACCACTTGACAGAAAATAGAGCGTAAATTGGATAAAGTAAAAAGACGCAAAGTTTTCAATGGCAAAAACCGGATTTTTTCTTGAAAGTGACTTTTTACATGAATAAAACATTTAAAAAATGGGTTAGTCTCTACAGTTATTATAGCTAGTTAGGCAAAATATTGACTCAATATGGTCTAAGCACTCGTAAGCGGCCACCTCCCGTAAGCGACCACCTGGGCTTTACATTTTGGGTGGTCGCTTACGGGAGGTTTGACTGTAGTTAAATCTCTCCACAACGGCCACGTTGGAGACAGAGGAAAGTGACCGCTGTAGATGGAAGGCCATTATGGGGAGGTAGGGGTGTGATATGGGTGCACAATTTTTTAATTTTTTTAAATGCTTTATAGTATCATATAAATACGTAACGCACACAGGGTTCCGATAAAAGTTTCGGGGCCTTTTACAAAGAAAAATGGTGTTTTGAATATGAAAAGATGACGAACTGGCTGAACTGGCAACAACAACAGCAGCAGCAACAACAACACCACAAATTTTATTTCCAAAACAGAAAAACTGTTAATTACAAAACAGATAATTGAAACAGAAAATTACGTAAATTCACACAGAAAAACTTTAAAGCTAATCAAACTCAATGGAATAAATAAATAAATAAATAATTTATTTATATGGAGAAGTTGGTTGGCGGTGAAACTTAAAAGGGGTGGGGGCAGTAAGAAGACAAAACAAGGAAAAAAAGGGAAACAACAGCAAATGAGTAAGCGGAATAAGTGGCCGTTGTCGAGGGACGGTTGAGACGCGCTTTAAGGGGCGTTGTCGTTGTGGAGAGGTGGCCGTTGAAGAGAGGTTTAAATAAGATTGAAAGTTGTGGACAGTCCACCCAGACAAAAAACAAGTGGCCATTGAAGAGGAGTGGCCGTTGAAAAAAGGTGGTCGTTAATGGAGGTTCGACTGTTTATCTATTTCTTTATTTATTTGATTGATTGATTGACTGATTGATGGACTAATGGATTGATTGATTGACTGACTAACTGATTGATTAATTGATTGATTGATTGATAGATTGACTGACTGACTGACTGACTGAGTGATTGATTGTTTGATTGATTGACTGATTAATTGATTGATTGACTGACTGAATGATTGATTGACTGATTGATTGATTGATAGATTGACTGACTGATTGATTGATTGTTTATTTGATTGATTGACTGATTGACTGACTGATTGTTTGATTGTTTGATCGTATGATTATTTGATTGATTGATTGACTGCCTGAATGATTGATTGAGTGATTGATTGAGTGATTGATTGAGTGATTGATTGATAGATTGACTGACTGATTGATTGATTGATTGTTTATTTGATTGATTGATTGATTGACTGATTGACTGACTGATTGTTTGATTGTTTGATGGTTTGATTATTTGATTGATTGATTGATTGATTGATTATTTAATTGATTAATTGATTGATTATTTGATTGATGGATTGACTGACTGAATGATGGATTGACTGATTGCTTGATTGATTGATTGATAGATTGACTGACTGATTGATTGATTGATTGTTTATTTGATTGATTGATTGATTGACTGACTGATTGTTTGATTGTTTGATCGTTTGATTATTTGATTGATTGATTGATTGATTGATTATTTGATTGATTGATTGATTGATTGATTGATTGATTGACTGATTGATTGATTGATTGACTGATTCATTGAGGGCCAGGAACGTTATGACATTCAAAACTTTCTGTTTCAACTACGAAACTGGAGAGCTTAGATCAACGTACAAGTCATGCCTAGCCTCTCCCGACCTGTAATGTAAATTCTTATCTATTCTGAAACCAACCATACTTCATGACAAATTAAAGGAAGATGAAAATCGTATTTTTAATTTTTGTTTTAGGTTGAAGGCGATAATAATACAAATTATAACTTTTTGAAATATGCCAAAGATGTCATTGGCAAGGGTACGTAATGCATTGTCTCTGTCTTCAACAATAGCATTTATTACTCATTAGTAAAAACTAAACGCAATATTTTTGAAAAAAATGTTTCAGCGTTGACTATTTGTCACTCAGTCTCAACTGTTACTTTTAATGCAGATTTTTTTGGTTGAACATGGAGAATATATTAGCCATCTCATAACACATCCAGCTTCACTTTTAGATATAGGATACATGCTTTACGGTACTGTATTCTATTGGAAATTATTAGATTCTGAGCTCAGGAATACTATCACCAGGGCGCCGCCCAACGCAGCTACTACGCATAGAAATCGAGAGCGAATAATCTGACTGTTTTCGTATAAATCTACCAGTCGTTCAAAACCTTCACTAAACAGTCCACTTCACAGACGCTTCGAAAACGCAAAAAAGCGGCCGCCCTTTTCTTAACAACCGCACACTGCTAGGCTACTTACTGTCTTGATGTCTACACTTTTTGTAAACCTCATGAAAATGATTCCAAGAGTCCAAGAGTCACGTCATATGTAATCTGTCATGATCGAATGCTAAGTCTTGAAGTAGCTTCATGGTTTCTTCCAGGAGTCAACCACTGATATTCTACATTTCTTACTGTTTACACAGACACTGATAAAGAGGGCATAGCCGCATTCAAGTTGAAAGGAATGTTACCGACCGACCTGTCCAAGTTCTTCCGTTACTCGGGTTCTCTGACCACCCCTGACTGCTTTGAAAGTGTGACCTGGACGGTTTTTAAAGATCCCGTCAAGATATCCGAGTATCAGGTGCGGTATCGTGTTCTTCGATTAAACTCCGGGCTCCGAAAACGCCGGCCCCGGTGTTTACGCGAGATACTTGGGCGGAAGGGATAGCGCAGTGCTTAGAGAGCTCGCGTCCCAAGAATGTGGCTCGGGTTCAATAGACCACGTTCGATATATCAATATTCTAACATGCCTCCGAGGAGGAGAGAGGAGCCTGGGAACGAGGTTAAACCCTGATGATCCGTATGATGGAATTTGACTTATCATGACTTATTGCTAAAAATTAGTCATCATTTAAAATCAGCTAGCTTTTCTGTGCACCTGAATGCTTTTCCTTTTTATCAGTTTCTTCGCGAATTCTCACGGGCAGGAATAAAGGAAAATAAACGAATTTAAAATTGATGGATTTTCAGGCCCCGTTTGTTGTCGTCGTAATTAGGATTGAGGAACAATTCAAAATGAAAAAGTTAATTGAGATATGAACCTCAGATTGTTGAAGACGAAATACAGAATTACTTAAGCCTGGTCATTTGATTTTGTGCCGCTCTGATTGACAGCCGGCAATACGTCTGCGTTCGAAGGCTACGCTTTGATTGGCTTAGACACGTGTCTCGTAGTACACACTGAAAATGTGCCGTGATTATCTTGCGTGTGATTGATGAACCTGTGAGGCTGTGACACCTTTTTCGATGCCTTACTACTGACTCGGTTCTTTTTTACAGATGGGCCTCTTGCGCAATCTCAATGACAGCAATGGCGTAAAAATGGTCGACAATTTCCGTCCACTGCTACCCGTCAACGACCGAACAGTCTACTCCAGTTTTAACATTTCTGGCCAAGGTGCGACCCCTCCGCCAACCTCAGAAGGCCCTACAGCCGATGCGACTACTGTCAGCATGTCTGCTGCACTGTTCTTATTGATGTTGGTTGCTGCTCTTTTCATGCATTAAATTTCACGCTAGTCATAAGAGCGCTGGAGAAATATTCACATCTCCAGCTGTTGCAATAGCTTGCTTGCCGTAGTTTGATCGACACCAGAGAACTTTGCTGGCGGGTTTTTGTGGACCTATAGGTCAAAGAAATCTTTGGTGTCCAATTTTGCCTGTGTACAGCCCCGCGCTCTCCTATCTTCGATTGTTTTTTGGAAGAGAGTGCGCGATTGTACACAGGCTATAGGTGTTGAACATGTTTTCATTAGAAAGTTTTCGTTGTAGCCTTGCTATAGCTTGAACAAAGAGAAGCCTCTATTCGCTACGTCATCAGAATGGAATTTTCGGGCATCTGATTCTAGTCTCAGACCTCTGTAGAGCAGGAGAAAAGAAGAGAGACTTTTGTTTATCCAGGCTAGATTTATTTCTTAATTAGTATCTGTTACCTTGACATACAAGGCCTTATTAAGAGTCATCAACACCTCAATTTTACTTGTACAATAATACAAATACAAACAGCGAGTAGAAAACATTGTTGGGGTATCACTGATTTATCATACATCTTTGTAACTGCGTCGCAACCTTTAAGGATTTAGAAATGAAAAGGTTAGAAAGTTCCCATAATAAGTTATGCACTGATCAGCGATCAGAAAACAAAGGAATTTGGTATAGCTTTGAAAGAAAAACCATTTTTCTAGATCAATATGTTGGTTTTAAGGGGATATAAAGTGCGATGGGGTTTTGAGGTTAAGTTTCTGCTCGACCGTTCCCAGTTGGAGCAAGTTTCACAAGGGAGGATTCGGGGATTTAGAAAAGGGGGACCGTAGTGATTGGGGTGACAACCTAGAGGTAATGAGGGTATTCAACAGCATTAAGGCTTAAATTTTCCCAAGGGTCTTAGCCAGAGCATTCTCATTTTACCTTAGGGTTTTTCTTTTTCTTAAACTTATGAAACGTGTTTCCTATATATTATTTGATAGCTTGATTTGCACCACGCTTAATTTAGGACGCTTTTTTCAAGAAATTTGCACTTTTGCTAGTTGGTATCTTTATTGCGGAGTAGCTGCAAACTTGAGTAACTGAATTTGTAGCCTTATTACAACGTGAAATAAAGAAACAGTATTTTGCACAAGTATTACGTGAAGTGTTGTTCTTAGAACAGTCCTTCAGTGGGAGTGAGTCAGGACACGTACTCCTTTTTTGGGCTAAAAATTCAAGGACTTTTGAAGGACATTCCAGGACACAATACCAACTTTAAGGACTCCATACTATAAAAAATATCATTGGAATGTGACCCTCAACCTTCCAGATACGTTCAATTCTTTGTTAGTCCTTATCTCAATTTTCTTTAAGGACATTAGCGAACAGTTAAGGTGGACTTTCAAGACCTTGAATTTTGATTTTCAAACTCAATTTTCAAGGTCCGAGCGAGTTCGTCTTGTTTATTTCTCTCATGCCTTCGTTTCCTCTCAATAAACCTACCAGAACTAGCAGAATACAAGCGCCTGCAGACAGCCTGAGAGCCAATCAGTTATTTAAAAGCACTGCAATAAACCAATCGCAACTCGCAAATTACACAAAGGGCCCAAGCGCGGGAAAACGCGGGTGGGCCAGCAGCCTGACGGCCAACAACACTAAAATAAACCAATTAGAACTCCCAAAATAGATAACCGACGTCAAGCGCGGAAAAGCGCGCGTAAATCAACAAATTGTTGGCCAATCATTACTTAGTTTTAAAACACTGCAATAAACCGATCAGAACTCGCAAAATAGTTGCAAGCGCGGGAAACAGGCGTAAACCTAATGATGGTTGCTTTTGTTCCTGATTGGGTGCGAGGTACTCTTCGCTCTGTTTGGTCTGAAACCGTGCGCTTAAATGCAATGGTTGAACATGCTGCGCGGATTCTGTGTTGCTACCAAAAACGTTCTTCTTTAAAAAGGAAAGAGCTTTTTTACCGCCATGTTTGGGATAGAAAACAATTTTTCGAAACTCGTATTATCTAGGGAACCAATAAACGTCCCTTAACAACATATCCCTCTTTGTAGTAAAATTATAAACTACAAAAGAACAAGAATGGCGAAGAATGCGGGCATGAATTTTGCCATCAAATGAGATTTCACACTTCTCTTAGATGCAACATCCCTGCTGTAGTCCCTAGATTTTGTTTCTTTGTTTTTATGTACGTCTGTCTTACTTTCATAGCTCTTGACTTGCAAGGTAAACCTTTACAACAAGAAAGAGAAATCATCTTATAAGCACTTTACTTCAGTGATTTTAACATAGAATTTGTGTTGATTCATGATCGTCAGGCAGACAAAATTTATTCTGGCCAGACAAAGAATACATACATTTTTTATATTAGTTATGGAGTCTGTCTTCTTAGTGAAAACTTCTTTAAATTTAAAGATTCACCGCATTAAGTGTTGCAAGCTGCTACTGGTCAGCTTGCGATTGATTGACTTGTGTTCTGACCGGGTCCTTCCGCTAGGTTACCAAGCCCAGGGGGAGGCCTGGGTTTGGTAGAATGTTGTTTGAACCCTGGTGGGGGTCGATGACCATTGGTAGACTGTTCGCGCCCCACTTTATCAGCCTGGAAATTCTCAAAACCAGGGGGAGGCTTGCCAACCTTGCCCTTCTTACTCACACGTCCCTCCTCTCCAGAAGGATTTATTTCATGTGAACTATTTTGCGCTTGAGGGCGTCCATTTTCTTCACAGGAAGGCTTGCTACTTTCTAATGGCCCAGTCATTTCGGGCCGTTTGACAACTTCTCCGGACAAAGTAAAACTATTATTTACATTTCTTACACCGTCTCGGGATTCGTTTGCACTGCCAGCAGATGGCTTGCCTTTTCCGGACCTTCCTCGACCTCTCCTGGCAGATCTTGGCCTCTCTCCATAAGAATTCTGTGATGACTTGATATTATTGCTTCTACCCGTAACGCCTCCTTCATCCTTCCTAGGGCCCTTTCCTGTGTCCTTCTCTGCATCTTTTCCTGGACCCTTTTCTGGGTCCTTCCCTGGGCCCTTTCCTGGGTCCTTCCCTGGGTCCTTCTCTGGGTCTTTCCCTGAGCCCTTTCCTTGGTCCTTTCCTGGGCCCTTTCCTGGGTCCTTCCCTGAGCCCTTCCCCGGGTCTTTGCTTAAGTCCTTCCCTGTGGTGTCTACAACAGGGTATTTTTTCTCTGATTCCAGCTCTGTCCGATTACCATCTGGTTTAGTTTCCGCCCAAAGGGCGCAGTCACTCCCTTGCTTATCAGGTTCTTTTGCGGATTCTTTTTCTTTATCCTCCTTTTCAACACTCTCAGGTCTGTCACATGTTGTCGGGCGTTTCTTGTCAGTTCTTCTCTGCTCGTAATGTTTAAACTTCTCCCCACTGGATCGATGTCGAGTTTTGTCAACGGGGCGCCGAGGCCCCCGAGAGGTTCTCGAATATTTTGAAAACTCTTTCTTCTCGATCCTGTCTGGTTTGTCCTTCCGCATAACATTTTCTGCTTGACTAGCTTCCTTTTCTGCGTCTACTCGCTTAGGAACAGTATTTGCCATGTTTTCCACTATGGGGTTCTTTGTTACTGTGTCCGTTTCGGGCCCTGTTGGGGGCTCGCTCTCTGGACTAGTTTCTTCTTGACGGACCTGCCAAACACGGAAATAATGTTAGACTAATACACTCAGTTGGGGGAGATAAAGTTTACTTTCACGGGTTATTTCGCTTATTTAACTTAAGGCTAAATTACAGAAAAGAACAGCCCATGTACCTTTCTGACAAATTTCAAGCGACGTTTAGATCAATGTAGCCTACGTGCAAGGAAATAGTTCGACTTCTGCACTTGTGCACAGCCGTGCACGTGCAAGAACACCCAGAAGCAATTTGGCCTTAACAAAACGCTCTGCTCAACCAGACACTCTTCTGCGTAATCTCCTGTTTTACCGAATGAAACAGCCTGGTGGAAAGAAGTGTAAGATCTTTACAATGCAATAATATATTGACAACAGTTTTTAGAAGCTTGAGCAAAGTTTAACCACAGTGAAACATGTACTGTAATTTGACAAGTGATAACACCAAGCTTCAAAAAGTATATCAGATCGGTGTAGACCTTGCAAATACATACAGATGTTATGTCAATCAAAAATTTGTTTCTTTCTTGTTCCACGTCAATGACCCCGCCTTTGCGCTTCTGTTTCTCAAGCAATGAAGACATTTTCTTCTGCAGTTCCCGTATTTCTGCACTGGGTTCGTAAATCAACTGGAGGACAAACCAAATAGAAAAAGATGAGTTACAAGAGATTACTTCATTTAATACCAATAAAGTAGCCGTTCTATAGGCGAATCTTTGTTTACAATATTTACCTCATTAGCATAAGCGATCCTGTTTCTAACTATGTTATGGAGCTACAAAAACATTAGTTCTGAATATTGAAAGAGCACAGCACGATTAACGGTCCCATGAAGTTTGAGCCTGATGTATTGAATACTTTTTGTGCGCCGCAGGATTAAAAAACTCAAAATTTTAATGAGAATGTATGAACTCATTAGCGCTTTTGCCACTAAAAAGTTTGCAGCTTTTGAAGCTAATTCCTTCTCGAATATAACCCCCAAAGAGACAAAAATGTCACCAATTACTTAAGTTTCACGAGATCTTCAAAATATGTGTGAAGTCAATTTGTATCTTGCATTTTTCTACGCAAGGTCGTGTGTTGATGAGGAAAAATGTAAACAATGAGGTTAGCAAAGATTCTCCTACAGCAATTTTGGCTCTCGTAAAACTGAAAGCAACAAAATCACCTCTGACCGATCAGAACAAATAAATATATTGTAATAATTGACCAATCACAACTCAGGGAAAAAACGTGCAAATCAGTTTTCCAATATAACAAACTCTCTGTGAGGAACACTTGCACGATTTAAACGTAACATTTCTGTTGAGAGTTTGGTGGTACATGAAGGCTTTATCTCAAATTGATGATATTCTTTATTCTCATCACCTGGCTTCTCACAATATATTGATACTGTGAGGAGAAATTTGATTTTGATAAATCTTGGAAATTCAATATAATCATGATTATAAATTGCCAATAACTTTGAACAAACCTCTTCATCATTCTCTGCACTAGAAGCAACAGTTTTGAGTTCTGCAAGGTCGTACGTGATTGGTAGTCGACACATAGGGCATTCTACCTGTGGAATCAATATTGCATTGATTTTCACCATTGTCAAACAGCTTCCAATTAAACAGTGAGAAGTCTGGAAAGACCTCAAGTACACAACAATCAACTGTCTTTCCAGTCATAACAAAAAAAAAACACTGTATCTCCAATCATAAAGTAGGCAAAGCAAATGAAATTACATGTGATTATAAGTAACCATCACAGTTTTTATGGCCAAAGCAATTTGTATATGCATTATATATCAAATCAAAAGACATCTTACATATTGTATGTATAATTATTAAATTAAAAGCAGTAACATAAACCAAAATGGAACAGGAATGAGATGGATTTCAAACAACAAACTGTCCACATGTTATTAAAATGCATAATCTTTGATGCTTTTTATTCTAATGATTTTATAGATTTTTTAACAAAATTACATTTAGTATTCTCTTTACTTTCTGAAGAAAAACAAAACGTCTGGTCAGTACACCTGCAAACCACTCAGCATCAATGTTAACAATTTGTTGTATTCCTTGAACAAATTCAGTTACAAAAACCCCCACTGATGGCAACAGCTTTTCATGCTTATAGAATGTCGATACAGTAAAACCTGTATTAAATAGACACCCTCACTAGAGTCCCTATAATTGAAGTGTCCACAGGTTGGTTTTAGAATTTAAAATATGGGGAAGAAAGTTTTGACAGTACTGTAATTAGTAGCCACTTAAAACAAGTTGTCAGCTTAATATGGAATCTGCTTAGTTAACCATGTAACGGCCTGGCCAGGGACATTGTGCCGTGTTCTTGGGCAACAGGCTTTACTCTCACAGTGCCACTTTCCACCAATGTGTACAAATAGCTACTGGCCAATTTAACACTGGGGTTTACCCTGCAATGGACTAGCATTCCATCCAGGGGAGTAGAAATACTCCTAGTCGTTTCATGTGACTGAAACTGGATGTAAGTGCCAGCCTGATGGGCCACTTGGCTCGTATACAGACTCATATACAGGTTTACTGTGCCATGTACTCAAAGTATCGTAAAAACACCTGTAGACCCAATATTGGTGTCCTCTAAATGACCATTAATTTGATTACCAGAGGGACCTTTGTAGAGAGATTGACTAGGATACACTGTTGTATTACAAACGCCTTCCCTGGGCCATCCCAGACTATATACCTTTGTGTCATCTTCAGTTTTCTTTTCTTGTTGAAGTGAAAATTCTACGTATCTTGCTAAACAGCGACAGTGAAAGTAATGATAACATTCTGTCTTTGTAAATTCATGATCATCCTACAGTGAGAGATTTAAGACAAGTTAAAATACTTCATCCTGTTAACAATTGTACAGGTCTGGATTCAGAAATCAAAATGCCTGATGCACAGATATCAACATCAGAAAGCACAAAGCAGACCTATGAAGTCACCACCATTGTTTCATGACATGGACAATGCAAATAAATTTCCCTCATGAGGGAAAGTTAACTTTGCACACACAATTAGCATGCATCATTGAATTTCAAAAAACAGTACTAGGAAAGTACGCACGCTGATTGATTAAAAATCGTGTTTCTGTAACTCGAAGGAAACACAGAACTAGCACAAGCTGTTGATGTAATGATGGCACGAGCAAAGAGAATTTACATTTTGATAATCAAAGTTAGCAAGTTGTTTTCCTTTTTTTCCTCATGATGTTTTCTAAAAGAAATAGAAACATGTTCTCCATGTTTCCATTGAGTTATAGAAACACTCATGAAAGTTTGGGAGAACTCGAAAAAGCTGTGGAAACACTCGCCTGCGGCTCGTGTTGCCATAGCATTGCTTGTTCTCCCAAACTTCCACTTGTGTTTCTATAACTCAATAGAGACATGGTACATGTTTTCTATTTCTTAAATGATGCAGGCTTACATACATAGTGCAGGACAGACCGCTTTGCAAGCAACATTTACAATAGTTACAACATTTTTTAAGCACATAACAGTAATAAAAATCAACAATTGGTTGGTCTGGAATACAGGACACAATATTTAGGTCTACCAAGATTACTAATACATTTACTTGACCTCTATTCCCT